GATCTGAAGATTTTCTATAGACCTAGTATTTGCGAATTTTTCACTGCAACCTTTACAGGAACCGCTCACCCTTCATTTCACAGACCATGAAGCCGTCATAATGAAGGGACATCGCAAGCCATCCATCGTCTCTAAGAACAATAAAAGTTGATTTGTGTATACACACACACTGTTTCTCATGTCTTTACGCGGTGATCGACTGGGCGAAATAAACACGGAAGACTCATGGTTTACCAATGATTTCCTCCGGAGCTTCGCCCACTCATCATCATTTACCCCGTGGGTATCCAGTGATTTTTCGTTGTTGTTGTAAAGCAAGCCTACATGCGTTCTTAGGAAGTTGCAACTTTACTGTTGGAAAACTAATCAAATGGTATTCCATTCCTATGCGTATTTAATTAGATGTCACTATTTTTCGTTAGTATCTGATGCTGCTCTAATATTCACTATTCACTATAGCGCTTCTCTCTAGCGCAATACACTGAAGCGCAGTAGCTCCAGTGTCTCTATGTATGCGCAGAGAACTTGCGCAAGAAGGCAAATTAGCAGCGGCTTTATTATGTAGTGCTCCTTACGGGAGCAGATTTGCGCATAAGTGCGCCTAGTCTGCCATCTTGCCTGCCGGGGCGTCAACGTCAAGTACGGAAGTCACCCCTTTAAAATCTACGAGCCGCTGCGTCTCAGCTGGTCCCCGTGCTTTTCTATTGTCCATAAAGGCGTGTTTACACTAGAGTGCCACGACACCGACGCAGACACGAGGCCGATGAGTCGCCCGCCGACGATATCGAGGATCCTTTGGTTACACTAGGCCGATGACAAGACATCAAAAGATTGCATGTCGTCTTAGCGTAATACTCACGCACCCCATGGACGTCCTTTCTTCGCTTCCCCTTTGGGTGTCACCGCCGCCGTCCATCAACATCTTGGGGAACGGCCTAGCCTAAAAGGGACGACGGCAGAGCAGGGAGCTCGGCTTAAAATAAGGACCAGTTGGTGCCCTGTTTCAATTTTTTCGTGCAATTTTAGTCAGTGTCGCCGTGAGCACCCCAGTATGGCAAGGAAATTGGCCGACGAAAGGCTGTGAGCACAACAAGGCATGGTCGGACTCTTCAGCGGGCCATCAGCGGACTGCTGACTTCGTTGCGGTGTAAATAGGACGACGAGGACAAGACAGATGACGCTCCGAAAAAAACTGCTGGTATACCGAAATTGCCGTCGTGTCGCTCTAGCGCGAACACCCTTTAACGCGTCGCTGGCGAAAAGAGTTTCGCTTCGAAGGAAAACGAAAAAGTCTAACAAACGATGAATTCAGATGCAACTGGTGATATAACTTTTTCGATCGCAGTCACTACGGGAAGTGATACTTTGTTTGCACCATTTTAATTAGCAAGTAGGAAACTCAGACAGGCACGATTCTGAGCGAATTAAGTTTTTTATTATGCTCGTGTTATGTTATTTTTGAGGCCGCCCTTTGGAAGATGTAATAGCTGGCACGAGAAAATAATGAGAAACAATAATAAAACAAGTGGTAAATTTTCACTCTGTGTTATTTTTGAGGCCGCCTTTGGAAGTGTAATAGCTGGCAGAGAAAATAATGAGAAAAACCAAGAATAACAGTGGTAAAATTTTCACTCTGTGCTTTAAACTTACGCAACCTAACAAGAATTTTAAACTGATCGAGATAGACGTCGCGTCAAAGAACACTAGTTAACACAACTTCTATGTTAGACGGTGTTCTTACGGGTTATGCTGTTTTAGTATACGCGTGAAATGATTAATAACACACTCATTATTGTACCTTTATTAAAATTCGGCCTTATCCGATATGTGTCAGCGGCAAGCCAGCTGTTACAATCGGGCGAGAAGCCATTTTCTTATATCCTTCTGTGACTTCGAAGATATTTGCAATATTTTTGTTGAGCTGCAAAGGTACAGCACATATGAAGTACAGTGCAAAAAGTCAAAGGTCAATACTTAGCGCCATCGCAGCACCATATAAACACATTTATTACTATAAATGATCGCCCGATTCTGCCAACATCAGTAGCGTGGCTGTGGTGGCCTTGTAGTTGGCAGCATACACGCAGCAGTGAACTTCGCTTTTCTTTCAAAGGATGCTTCCTGCGCACGTGAATGCGCTTAGTTGATCGCGGCGCGACCGGTTAGTTCAATCAAAAGCGTTACTCAGCGTAACTCTCGCATTTGTTTCCACTGTATTTAGAAATACAGACTGATCAGACCAGGAAACGTGACTTCTGGCTTTTCGCAAGAACCGTCGCTTTGACAATCACGTCAGTGGTGATCGCCAGGCTCACAGCGCCATCCTTGAGGTGCGGCTGGAAGTAGAGACAGCCGAACGCCGCAATATTATATACTCTTTTGTTAAAACTGGAATAGGGTGGTGGTTTATCGCTGTCTATGCAATGGACCTACTCCGACGGTGAATTCTCGACGCACTGTGCGTAAATCCTGCAAGCGAAGCGTGTACCCTTATTTGCTTCATGCTGTTTTGATTCTTCTTGTATTGTTTTCTTTATGAAAGGAAAGTGAGGAGGATGCTCAAGCAACTGCTTCAGGCCACGGATTTTTCTGCCGATGCGTTTTTGTTTCTACGAAGACAAAACTATCGTGAGGCAGTTGTATACAGCTTCGCCAGAAAAATAAACAGCTCATAACTCTTGAGAAAGCTCTAAGTCGCAACAGAGCTTCGCATTTCAAGTTTATCCGCTGTGTTGTGGACTGCTTTGCAGTCCTCTACTGAGCACCCTACGCGAGTATGCTTGGACTTTCTGTACTTTCCTGAGATATACAGCTGAATTGCACATTCAAGTTCTGAAATGAGCCCAGATAAGCTCTTTTCATCCGAGAAATTGACACTTCGTGTCAGACATACTGTAGCCTCTTCAAACAAATTGCAGGAAAAGTTTGGGATGCGTCTGTGTGGGGCATCAATTTACCGCTTCTGAGCGAACCGCTGTTGTGGACCTGAACCTATTTATTTACCTTCCACAAGCCTCGCACCTGTGGCCTAAGGTGGAACGACGCCCCATGCCTCCCACGTCACAAATGGCACCTGTGCGTGTGGCTCTGCCTCCAAACCTTGTTTATAAAAAAGGGCATAGATTGATCGTTCACACAAGTTTCATTTGCACCGCTTCAAAGGTAAGGCTGGTCAATCCCCATTCTGCTCACAAAATATGTCTGCATTCGACGACAAGATGTACACTTACGTCCTTCAAGATTTTGCTAGAAGGCCACCTTTTGTATTCGTTGTTTGCGTCTTTTCACGTCTTTCTACGAGACGCACGTAAAAAGTGTCGAGTGCCATTATATGGCTCCGTTCACCACATTTAGTGCTGTAAACTGTTCCTTCCAGCAACATATTGCTGAACGGAAAAATGGCAGTAATAGGAAGATGGATGACAAAATACGCAAACGGAGGTGTGGTTGACATGAGGACTTGTTGAAAGCTAGAAGTGATTTGCTGTGCGCTAGCGTGTTTACGCTTGCACGCTCTTCTCAATCAAAAGGAAGCCCCGCCGCAGTGGTCTAGTGATTAAGGTACTCGGCTGCTGACCCGCTGGTGGTGGAATCGAATCCCAGCTGCTGCGGCTGCATTTTCGATGAAGGCGAAAATCCTGAGGCCTGTGTGCTCAGACTTGGGTGAACGTTAGAGAACCCCAGGTGGTCGAAATTTCCGGTGCCCTCCACTATGGCGTTTCTCATAATCATATGGTGGTTTTGGGACGTTAAACCCCACATATCAGTCAAATTTAATCGAAAGAAAGGAAGAGTAGTGTGACTGCGGATTCCGGAGCGGGGGGTGGGGCGTCGCTTTGGATATCAGTTTGAGCCTTGCAGAAGACAAGTCCACTTAAAGCGCTTTTTCACTAGAGCGACGCTACATCGACGCAGGCACGAGGCCGACGAGTCTCCGTACCATCGCGTCACATTAGGCTGAAGATGACATATACGCCTCGAAAGACAGCATGTTGTTGTAGTGTAACGTGATGGCAGACTGAAAGCACCAGCAAAAGGCATCGGCAGACTTGTCTTTGGCAGGTCGTCTGGAGATCGGAGGCCGAGTGAAAATTGTTAACGACCAAGGGGAAGACAGGCGGAGGTAAGGTTGCTCCGTCGAAGACTTAACGGTAATCATTCACATTCCACGGAACTTGTTTTTTCGCTTCCCCCTTCGCTGTGCGCACCACCGTCCCTCTACTTCGGGAGGGGGGAAATGCAAGGGCTGCGTCGCGTAGCCCGAGAAGGCAATGATAAAGCTCGGCTGAAAGTGAAAAGCAGGATGTGCCAAGAACATATTGTCACGGTTATTAGCCGTAAGCACAAAAGAAGGAAGAAGCCAGCATCACGTGTGTCGGTCTCTGGCGTTTTTCGAGGAAGACGACGTTGAGCGTCTGCTCTTGCGCTTTGTTTTTGTGTGCCAATAGAGCCTTGCTCTTAACGTCGAAAGAAAGCCTTGTGTCTTGTTCTTTGCACGTTGCGACAATATTTTAACACAGCGCATGACTACGCGGACACAAGAGAAGATAGAACCAGCTAGCGCTGTGTGCGCGTAGTCATGCGCTGTGTTAAATATGTTCAAGTACGGCCACCAATAGGCCCAGGTTTCAGTCCTGCAGGATGTACCCTGTTTCTATTTATTCGTGCGATTTCGTCGTTATCGCCGCACGTGCCTTCAGTGTAACTAGAGAATTGGTCGACGAAAGGCTATGAGCCGGACAAGTCGGACTGTTGACGTTGTTGCAGAGTAAATGGTACTGACGGGAAGTCAAAAGACTGCTTCCAAAGAGAGTCGGGAGACCAAAATCAGGGTCGTGTCACTCTAGTGTAAACGCGGCTTTTTCGAAATGCCATCTCGAGCACACAACAGGTGTTTACAAGTTTCAATATAACTATTTGCTAAACATTTATAACAGGTTCAAAAAAACCAGCTGGCATCATTCCACCAGAAAACAGTCATTACAGGTGTCTTATTACAGACCCCTGCCGTGGCGTCCAGTGTCCAGCATCACAAGTTTGCCAGCTCGATGAGCAGCGGAATCCAATTTGTCGCTGCAATGGCGCCTGTCCTGGAGACCTGCGGCCCGTCTGCGGGTCGGACGGCCGCACTTACCCCAATGAGTGCCTGCTCCGGGTCGAGGCTTGCCGCTCACGCAGGCCTTTGCGACTCGTGTATGCGGGCGCCTGCTCGCAGGGTCTGAACCCTTGTGGAGACTTGCAGTGTCAGTTCGAGTGTTCCATAGACCGATTCGGAAAAGCGTCCTGCACGTGCCCGCCTCCTTGTGAACAGGTAAGCATAGGAGAATAGTTTTCGTATGCCGCGGGATTGAGTCCCGGCTGCGGCGGCTGCATTTTCAATAGAGGCGAAAATTCTGTAGGTCTGTGTACTCAGATTCTGCTTCACGGTAAAGAACCCCAGGCGGTCTAAATTCAAGGTGCCCTCCACTACAGCGTCTCGTATAATCATATGGTGGTTTAGAGACGTTAAACGCCACATATCAATCAATTAATAAATAATTTTGTATGCCTTGCATAAGAGTCTGGTATTGAGACTGTTGGTACGTAGCTGGGAAAAACGACGAAGCCAGCCACCAGGGAGATAGACTTTCATACAATAATATTTTTGTATTAAACTCGATCTCCAAAGACACGTTACGGGAACAGAATTCGTCAGTACTTTACTTCTTGTTCACGTATCCTTGATGACTCAGTTCACCGTTTTTACAAGCCTTCCAAGAACGAACGGGGCCGTTCCAAGTAAACACCACTCATCGCGCAGGTGCTGCGTCCGGTTTGCGGCTCAGACGGAAAGACGTACGACTCTGCTTGTCATCTGCGGCGCGAGGCGTGCTTAGCGGGAGACGCCGAGCTGCGGATATCGTATGCGGGACCATGCGATGCAGCCGCCCCCTGTCACGGCTTCCGGTGCCCGCCTGGCGCCTTCTGTTCTCACGACGGCCAGCCGTCGTGCCACTGCCCGCCTTGCTCGGAGGAGTTTGAGCCCGTCTGCGGCTCGGACGGAATTTCTTACCCGAACGAGTGCAAGCTCCGGCGGGAGACTTGCCAGCGCAGCACGGCTTCAGGAGGTTCGGCGCTGCCTCCGGTGGCCGTCGCGCATCTAGGTCTCTGCTCGGACCCATGTGACGGGCGCCAGTGTCCCTTCTACGGCGTCTGCGAGGTGCATCAGCCATTTCTTCTTTCATTTTGCCCCATCACTGTCTGATTTGGCGTTATAATCAGTGCTGTAACCAGCGAGCAAGCACAAGGTCAAAAGGGCTTCTGCGTTGTTCTACCTGTCCTTTATGTACATTAGGTCAAACCTCACCTTTTTTATTCGTATCGCTCCTGGTTAAATTTTATATTTGTTCAAGGAAATGAGCATGAAAACGGAAGTGACGGAAACAGCAGCTTGTTAGTTAGAACTTCACAAACCCGCTGCACTTCACTGTAATCTGGTGTGACGTAATTATTGCATACAATATATCAATACACAAAACGGCCATACAATATCAAGAGAAAAATTTGGCATATGCACTAGCCAAATATCAGGCTGTTTATTAGAGAAAAAAGCATGAAACAATTAGTATGCGAACGCATCGGAATGCAGGTTGCTGGAATATTCCACTACTTCGTTAGTTAGTGACATGAACCCACTGCAAGTGATGATTTACCTCTAAGATGTTAGTAACTGCACTTTTCATGATCCAGCTTTGTGACCTGTATTAGTCCAGTGGACTACACCTGTACTTTACGCCTATTAGGTTTACCTGCGCCATGTTTACGTTCATATCAAGTTGATTATAGCACTATGTGAGGGAGGTGATTATAGTACTATCGTGAGCAATATGGGTTCGAACACGCGAGCGCGTGGCAAATACCCTCGCACTTCACATCGGTGGGTTCGCAGCGGCCGTTGTCGGAAGCAAAGTGGCAAAGGCGTCGCGCTTCTGGTATCTGTTGACACTGTCTCTTTGGTATCGTTGATGCAAAACGGTGGCTCATACCGCACACAGCCACACCTAATCAGGCTATCTATCTACCTCGTGCGCTGCTGCTTTGAGCGGTACCAGTGGCGATACCAACGGTGAATGGTGACGAAATCGGGTTGATAGTGGTTACGGAGACTGTCGGTGGCGGCGAACAACTAGGGCGCTGCTCGTGACCCATGTTTTGATCTCATACAGCTTTCGTTGTAAGACGCCTGACCTGCGCGGGATGCGCAGCACAGTCACAGCGAAGGCTAGAAGAACGGCCTTCCAGAGCCTTCTAACGCGACATTGTTAAGAGCTCGTTTCGCGGAAATTCGGGCTGCAGCGTCGTTGTCGGCGTCATTGATTTCGAGCAAAAAATCAACGTCTGACGCGTGATCGCAAAATCGAGAACATAGAGTTTCATACAATAATACCTAGAGGAGAATATGTCGCCTAGAGCCCACGCGGGCTCCTTCAGCAACGCTTGTACCCCCGTGGGAATTATGGGAAGTACAGGCTTTGGATCAGCTTCAGATGGACTATTTTCCTTATATTCGCAACGCTGCTTTTCCGAGTGTAAAACAATGTCTTATCAGCTTATATACTAATTGAAAGTTGTTTCATTTATTTGTAAGCAAACTTTATTGCAAATTTTGTGTGACCAGGCGGAAAAAGCTAAACCTGGGCAAATTCAACCATGAGGGTATGCATTGCTCTGCCCTTCGTACCGAATTTGGTAACAAAATGTTAATCAATTATTTATTGATGTTTTTATTATTTAATTTATTGAATATTATCGTCATCAGAAAAAAAACAACAAGTGGCCTAGGCGTAAAGTAATCAAAATCGCATGTAAAATATTACAAGAGTGGAATCAAGCGCGAAATGTAAAGAGAGGAAAAGGGGGGAAATGGGAAAAAATAAAGGAAGATATAAACTGAAATGGAGAAAAAGAGAGACAAAACAGGGAAGTAGGAAAAAAACTGAAGAGTCCAGTTCTGCACTTCCTTAGTGTGATGCTGCCTTTGTTGTTCAGTTTTTTGGTAGTTTTTCACCCTTTGTACATGAATCAGAGAGTCCGCTAGAGATCAGCGTTATGATTTATCAGTTGGCTTGTCGTTGGTCTACTCAGTTTGTGGGTTTGGCAAGGTATTAAAGAGCACAAAGAAGATAGGATGAAAACTGGAATGTAGATTCATAAACAAGGGTAGATGTGTGTGCGCTTGTGTGAATATGAGATTCAAATAGAATTGGCGCGCCAGGAAGAAGTTTGTATTAGGGCTATCACACACCATAATTACTTGGGTAGCCATTGGGGTGATCGAATGGCGACTTCCATGATTAAGTTCATTAGCAAGTTTAAATTGATAAATTTTAACAACATGCATGTGCTTAAACTCGAGAGCACATTAAGGTATCTGATGTGTGCAAAAGTGGTCCGATCCCCCTCAAAATGGACGTGTCTCGTAAATATATCATGGGGCTGGGACGTCAAACTTCTGCAGTCTTTATTAGTTCAGATGACAGATTGGATTCTCAGAGGGGGGAGGGGGCAAGGGTGATAAAAGTTTAATATCTGATTTGTCATTATTATTTTCCTTGAGTTAAGAAACGCAGTAGAAAGTATATGTGCTTCTTTGGGCAGAAATCTTAGTGCATATTGTCATTCGCGTCCGTGATGCACACTTGATGTTCAAGATGGTTCAGCAAACTGGGAAGCGTGGGGGTGAACACAGACACAAAGCAAAGAAAGGCACACAGCACGAGCGCTCAACTAACAACTGGTTTATTCTCACGTTTCGAAGGACATATAAGTACACAAGGCTGCGCATGTCAACAGGAATAAGATGATAGTGTCAGCAGGAAGCGTGACGTTCATTCGAAGCGCTTGTCTACGATTTATCAATATATTTAAACTCACAGTCAAATTGTGATAATGACGGATGGCTAATACAATGATTCTTATTTCTAGAAATGTGATATGCTTCGGAAATTTCACGTGTGGTTTGAAGCGGATGCCGGAAAAGTACACTTGTTTTTTCAAACAATGGTTGACACTTGCGGGAATTGCAATGTGAAGCTAAAACGGAAAAAGGAGTATTTTTCAAAGACCTCAAATGCTCCCTGAAACGTATGTTCAAACATCACCCAGTATGGCAGATATACATGAAACCGCACGTTAGCGGTATGCTATACATCACTCCTAAAAACACTTAACAAATTGTTTTGCATGTTTCTGCAAACGTCGTCTGCTTTTTGACGTGCCCTGCGCCTCCTATGCACCATGGCGCATATACGGCCCAATTTATTGGGTGCAGAGAAAACAACGCGCACACCAAACCTGTTCCTCACACTTTTCAGTCCATGCGCCAATTTATGCATGCATGGTATGACGGCCGCGCGTTTGTTTCCTTGATTACATTCTGCAGAAATACACGCACGTTTATCACCGTTTCTCACGATCCCGCAGAAGTCTCTCACACACCGATGCGATTAGATACGGTGGGTACCCAGCCCCGAATAACCATCCTAACTGCGCTAAGAATTCATTGTACACCATGTGGATACAGCTTTTTTCCAGCGCTGAACGAAGGCATGACAGAACAATGCCTCATTTTATAAGCTTAGAGTGACCGGATGAGTAATTTAAAACAGGTTTCGCTGGGTCGAGGGTTATATTTCCTAGCAAATATGATGGCATCCGAAGAATAGATAAGGTCGAGAAATTGTAATTTTTGATTACTCGGAACCTTCGAAGTAACCCGGAGGCCCGTGCCCTCCACATCGAAGCATGCCAAAATAGCGTCATAGTTCACTGCAAAACATTTCTTTACAAAAATCAGATAATCATCAACGTATCTGAAGATTTTGGTGCCAGGCGGTAGTTTATTGCTTAGGGCGGTGTCCACCTTTCATAGGAAAATGTTGTTTAATGCAGGAGCCACACTGGAACCTTTACACACACCCAATTTCTGCATGTACAGGTTTCGAAGCCTTACGATGAAGGTAGACTTTAGGTAAAACGTCAAAATATCTAAAAAGGACTCGGTTGACACTCCTGTACGATTCTTGAATGAAAGTTCGTCATTGTCTTTCACTACGCACTGCTCAACGCAGTTTAGCAACGGATCATGCGGCAACGAATAATATAGGTCGACTACATCAACACTAAACGCTGGTACCTTTGAAAACTCTCTGTAGTTTAAATATTCAACCGAAACATCCGAGTTTTTATCGTAGAAAGGGTTGTTCACGTGCAACACAGATAAATGCTTCTGCAGATGTTTCGACACAGCCAGCTGCCATGAGTCCCTATCCGAGATAATCGCGCGTAACGGCATTTCTGGTTTGTGCGTCTTTATCGAAAAGATTTCCAAATCTGCAGATTCGGCCTTTGCCACAGAAGAGCCGAGGTTTTCCAGGTTCACTCTATTTAACAGCGAGATCGCTCTGGCTTTCACGGCATTGCTTTTTACAGAAATAGGTTTGAAATTTCATTCCAATGCTTCCTCGGCCTTGTTGATAAAATCTTGTTCACTAATAACGACGAAGAACCCTTCCTTGTCAGAAACAAGTACCCATAGCTGCTTCTTCAGGCAAAAGTCTATGACAGGTTCCACATGCAATGTTCTACTAGACTTAGTAGCATTCCTCGAAACAACATGAACACTTTTCGTTACACACCTTTCTCTGCACACAATAAATTGGGCCGTATGTGCGTCATGGTGCACAAAAGGGCGCAGGGCACGTCAAAAAGTAGAGGACGTTTGCAGAAACATGCAAAACAATTTCTTAAGTGTTTTAGGAGTGGTGTACAGCATACCTGCTAACGTGCGGTCGCATTTACATCGGCCAGACCGGGCGATGTTTGAGCATACGCCTCAGGGAGCATTTGAGGTCCTTGAAAAATACTCCTTTTTTCGTTTTAGCTTCACATTGCAATTCCCTGCAAGTGTCAACCGTTGTTTGAAAAAACAAGTGTACTTTTCCGGCATCCGCTTCAAACCACGCGTGAAATTTCCGAAGCATATCACATTTCTAGAAATAAGAATCATTGTATTAGCCATCCGTCATTATCACGATTTGACTGTGAGTTTAACTATACTGATAATTCGTAGACAAGCGCTTCGAATGAACGTCACGCTTCCTGCTGACACTATCATCTTATTCCTGTTGACATGCGCAGCCTTGTGTACTTATATGTCCTTCGAACGTGAGAATAAACCAGTTGTTAGTTGAGCGCTCGTGCTGTGTGCCTCTTCTTTGCTTTGTGTCTGTGTTTACCCCCGCGCTTCCAGTTCACTGAGCCATCATGAATGACCAACTAGCCCACCTTTCCATCCTATTGATGTTCAAGGACATAAGATTTTGCTGGCCTAATATAAAATTTGTGGCGCCACCAAGACAGCGAAGGAAGAATGAGCAGACAGGTTGGGTCTCCTGCTTTTTCGTTCCTTGCCTGAATTGTGTCGCAAGTATCATATTAGGCTATGAATTTCCAACTAGCCCAAGAATTAGCTAGAGCTGTTTGCTGGTCTAGCATCGATGTATTGACACATTAAAAGTGCTTGAAGAAATCCATGATAGATGCTCAATGTTCATAAGGCTCCATAGTGCGCGCGATTTGACGTGTAAATCTGTAGAGGTGTGAAGCGCCTTAGGGGCAACGTTTTTAGATACCATCACGGTAAATCTCATGACTCTCTACTGAAAATTAAGAAGCGGAACGTTGGCTCAACAGAAAGCCACTAGGGGAGCATCCTGGCCTGGGAAGAACCGGGCATGTATGCAGGGAAAAACGAGAAGTTGAATCTCTACGCAGCTTTGCAACGATGTTAATGGAGCCGAAACACTTTTCTCTACATCCGTTCCTCTGTATCGTTTTTTTTTTCTTATTGGGATCGGTTGTCATTTCGTTTCGCCACTTTTCTTTGTTGCCTGGATATGTAAGCACTGGTACCATTGTCGTTATGATGAACAGCGTATGAGTAAATGTTGCAACAGAAGTGTGACACTGCAAACGAAAGTGAAGGTCTCATTGTCGGCGCGGCAGAAAAAAATAGAGAGTCCACGCGTACCTAGTGGCGATGGCACTCGACTGCTGAATTGAAGGTTGCGGGATCGAAACCCGCCGGGGCGGCTGCCGCTTTTCCATGAAGGCGAAATGCCGCTGACCTGTGTACCTATATTTAGGTGTCAGATAAGCAACCCCATGGGGTTGACATTTTCAAGACGTTCACTTCGGCATCTCATGTAGTGGTTTTGTGACGTAAAAGACCAAATACTATTATTGGTTCCCTCATCCTTGATGAGGTGGCGGGCGAGGGCAGGGGACATAAAAGCGAATATTTCCATTTCAATGATTGCATCAGTGGACAATTTTATTGCTTGCTTCTGGACTATCTGCACGCATCAAGATTATTTGCGCACCTTTTACACCGTATACTTCTATGTGTAAGTGCAAGTGACAAAATTTTATTTTCATATTGGTACCTTAATTCGTCCTTTTATACCTTGGTTCGGCACCCTCGCAGAAATTTGATTAGTGTGGCAGAAAAACGTTCCGCAAAGGAAAAGAAAATATGCTGTTTGTGTGATGGAGGGCGCCAGCGTATGAGTAAATCACTGCTTTTGGATGGCACCGACAGAAATTCGGCGGATGCTCTTATAGAATATGTTCATGGAGATTCGATTATTATTTTTATTATGTAATCACAGCGTTAACTCACATCACATTGAAAAAACTGGTACACGGTTGCTTCAGGCCTGTACAAACGGTGAGTATAAACTGCCGGTCACTGATTCGAAGTCGACCGCCTGATTATCTTTCGTGCTGCACGCAGGGTGGCGCCCATTGCGGATGCCCTCCACCGTGCCCGTCTCCCGTGGACGATCCGGTGTGCGGCTCGGACGGCGTGACGTACGCCAACGAGTGCGAGCTGCGGCGCGCATCGTGCCGCCACCAGCGCGCCCTCGCGGTGGCTTCCCGGGGTGCATGCGACCTGTGCCGCGGAGTGGGGTGCGAGCTGGGCGCTCGATGCGAGAGCGGCGTGTGCGTGTGCCCGCGCGACTGCCCCGAAGGCCTAGAGCCCGTGTGCGACAGCCGTGGCCAACCTTACGCCAACGAGTGCCAGCTGCGAAGGGCTTCGTGCCAACAGGGCCGCGACCTGGGACCGCCGAGGCCATGCGCGGCCATCGACCAGGACCCGGATGGCGGCAGTGGTGACGGCTGCATTTGCCGCTACGGGGCGGTGTGTGCGCCCAACGGAAACTGCCAGTGCGACATACACTGCGATGCGGTGAGTCTCGCGATTGCCTCTTAAGGCGCAGGAAAGTTGGGCAACTTGGTATCGAGAATACCAGGTGATGGTGCTGAGTGCAACACTTCTTTAGCAGTTTCCCTTGTTCTGCTTTTCGCCGTCTCTTTTTTAGACGTGTTATTCTACGTCTTTTTATATCTTGCCTGTTCAAAGCGCTGCGCACCTATTTCAATTTAGAAGTTTTCTAAAGGCAACACGTCGCTCAATATTCAGTTTTTTAATCAACATTGTCTTGAACTAGCTTGCAACAATCACAGAGTTTAAAGCCAGGAGAAATTTCATTCTGCATTTGTGAGAATATGTAATAGGATGCAGTTGGAGACCAGTGACTGAATATATGCGAGCGAAACCTGTCAAGCTGAAGGTCTCGTATTTCTCTGTTATTTAATTTTTATCGCGTTCGGGAACAGCCTGTCCTTCTTTCGTGATATACACAGATCTTAGATAATCATTATTGTATGCTTTAAATTATATAAACTATGTCCTTTTGTATATATGACCAAAAGGAAAAATTCGCGTGGTGCGCTCATGGTTGCAATAATCATGCTGTACCAATAATTATGAAATGAAGATTTTTATCACAGTCTTACCAAATCAAATCGTAGGTACTCTTCAACTCATCTGTGAAATCAAAGATGAATGTGCTCACTGCTACAATTCTTACGGAAGCGCTTGTGCTGAACTTCGACTGGCGATTTAACAAGACTTTAGAATGCTATAATGACGCCGGTCAAAAGCACATGTAGATTCACCTAGTGACAGTCAAGGCATGTCGCAGTTCGACCGAGTCGAAAGCCATACTTTCTACGCCATTCACGTCTCTTTGCATCACGATAGTAGGCCGTTACAGTTATACTAAACATGCGTGGTGCGTGCATCCACGCGTGAGTCGTAATACGTATATCCTATTATTGACATTTGGCCTGCGAAAGAGTATGGTAATAGTTTTGTGCCGCACACTACACGCATACTGCACGTAAATCGCCGCTGTAAAGTGGTACAGCTGGAGTCGCGTTTGAATGAACGCAATAAGCATGCTTTCTCGTACACTTTACTGGGCTCGTAGTTTTTCCTGTCGATCGCGATTATATCCTAAGGCGGCGGAGCTCAGCGTTTTTCGTTGTGGACGGAAATCTGGGCAATCGCGAAACACCGCACCGACACGATTCCCGTGATGCGCTGTGAACTTCACAGGCAGTGCTCAGCAATAACTTTCTCGTGCGCTGGTTGTCACATCAGATGACAGTGCAGTGGTACCCGGAGAACATTTTATAAGCGGGTGCAGCGTGAACAGGCAAATTTACGCTTTTTAAACTCCCAGAGCCACTGCTTGCCATGCTAGCGAGGCGCGCCTTGGCAGTTCCAAATGAATTACGGCGTCTCTAGGACCAAGGGTATACCGCCGAAGGCGCCTGGGTGCGAGATAGGCGTGATCTCGTCTATGGGTGGGTCGTAGCATGGTTTAGGTCGCGTGAGGTGAACTGTTTCGCGGCTTCGACAGCGATGATCGGGCGATGCGTTGACCGGCTCGATGACGTAGTTTACGGGAGATGTCTGCTCCAGTATTCGATAAGGACCATAATACAGTGACAAAAGCTTCGTAGATAGCACGGGAGTTGGGGACGAGCCCCAGAGCCAAGCTAGCGTTCCGAGGAGTAATGGTTGGTGCACACCGGTGACAGGAGCGGTCACGCGACCATTTGCGACTGGCGACCAAAAAGTGACTGATGCTCACACCGGCAGAGGCTGCATGCGAGCGACCAGAAGTCGCAAAACAAGAGAGTCACGTCCGCATCTGGTTATCTGCTGCTGAAAAACATTTATTTACAGATGTTATTTACAGGGAGGGTGGGAACGGTCCTTAAGGGGCCGCCCCGTACAAACACTAGGTGGGCTCCCTCTTACGGGAGCCCATTGGCGTTGGCCGCGGCCCGGGCACGCTCGACCAGGGCCCGTTGGGCCGTCAGGTCAGAGCAGCCGAGCAGGGCTGCCTCCCAGTCCTCCCGCGAAGGGTTGGGTAGTGGGGTAACGTTTGGGGTTTTTTGGCATGCCCACACCATGTGGAAAATGTCAGAGGAATTTTCCTCACAATGCGGGCACTTCCCCGTGCATGCGGGGTCAAAGTGTTTTATGATTGCCGGGCACAATAGAGTTTTAGTGTAAAGGCGAAGGAGGATTCGCTCCTCCGCCTTCGTGAGGCCCTTACAGGGTTTTGGATAGACGTTATGGCCGGATAGATAAAATTGTGTGATCTCCTTAAAGGTGTAGGCAGGATTGGGTTCGAGTTCCGGATCGGTAGGGGACGAGGATGGTGCCCGGAGAGTGAGCACGCGGGCAGCGGCATCGGCCGTCTCATTACCATCGAGGCCCGTGTGAGCCGGAGCCCATTTGATCGTTCGGTGCGCGGGGGCACCTAGGTAGCTGCTGTTCATCTGGTTATCAGCGAGAACACTGGAGACCGGTGCCGATCAGCTGATCGCCGCCAGCTGAATGAGCGGAGCGAACCAAGCGCTACCCATTAGTTTTCGTCCGTTCTCGCACAGTGTTCCCAGCTGCGTCAAGGAGTTCGATTCCAGCGAAGAACAAGAGATTGTCATGGCGCTGATGTGCTATGCCATAGTTATAGCCATGGTGTCAGCGCTGGCAGCACAGAAGCCTCCAAAGAAGAAAAAGCCGGTGGTTTGTGTGACCGTCCCTCCACTCGCGAGAGCTGCCGGCCATGCAAGCCACCTTTACTTCACGAGCTGCGCTGAGACGATGAGGAATATTTCCGAGAGTGGTACGTATTCAGGAACGTTCGTTGAATTTAGCTTGACTTGCCATAGCCTCCAACGCAGCACAAACGCGTCTTTAACGCGGTATCTTTAGTCGGTACCAAGGCATGAAGCATAAACGCGTTCCAAAAGCGCTGCTTTTAAGACGTTGGCAAGTAAAGTTCAAGACAAAAAACAATTCTGAATACGGAAGAAGAAAGCACGTAATCCATTTTCTTTTTATTTTGACGGTGTTTGAATTTTTGCGAATGCTGCCACGTAAATTTGACATTTTGCTCAAGCTGCTGCGTCCCGTTATCTCCAAGCCGAGTCATCGAGGTGCCACAGACCCAGAGGAACGCACTCGTTTGTATTTGACGGCAGGGGCCAGCGCAATGAAAAAAAAAATGGCAGCATATCCATGGAGTGAATGATGAATAGTGGGGCGAAGCATCCGTCCGTCCATTCGTTCTTGCTTCCGTCCATCCATGAGTGCGTCTGTGTGGCCGCACGTGCATCCATCCGCCCGCCCGTGCGTGCGTCTGTTCGTGCGTCCACACGTTCATCCGTGCGTCCGTCCCTGCGTTCGTCCATGCATCCGCTCCTGCGTCCGTCCATGCGTCCGTCCATGCGTCCATCCATCCGTGCAGCCATCCGTGCTTTCGTCTATGCATCTGTCTGTGTGTCCGTTCATCCACATATTCAACACTCCAAGTACCACCATCTCGCATCTTTTCATCATATATTCTTCATATCGAAGGACTGCCATCCAGCGGACATTCCAAGGACTGAACAAGGGGAGGCAGACGCACACTTTCTTACAGCTTGCGTTTCATGTCTTCTTCCCCCCTTTAACCACCTCAAGTTCATGGTATATACTGGTTCACTGTATTCATGGCACTGGGGCCCAATGAGGTTACGCCCAGCGAGTATAACGTAACCTTTTCTTGTCAGATACTGCTCAATGTACATGCCAATGGCTACTAAGGGGGAATGAGAGACAAGAGATTTCGGCTTTTAGTTAACGCGCACGCTGCGAATTTTTTATTGCTCAACAACGCACAGAGGAAATCTCCCACCGGCACCACCTTGGAGGTAAAAATGCAAGACTGTTTACACACTACTACTACGACCACAAGGGACGAACGGGTGCCGCTATAAGAAGCTTCGACCCTAAAACAATGAGTCTAGATATAAAGGAATGCTGGCGTCACTTCTGGGCATCGCTCATTGGTTGCAGCAGCTTTGACACTGTAGTCGCGCGGCTGAAAAATCGGTCAGGAAGCGACTAGCCAAAGCAGTCGCTTTGCGACCGTTTGCGACTGTTTTTTACCAGTCGAAAATGGTCGCGCGACTGCTGCTAGTCGCCGGTGTGCACCAGCCTTATGGGCATCAGACGCAAAGACGTCATGACGCAATTTTCGGTTCAACTTATCTCGCGTGGTGAACGAGCGAGCCAGTTTACGGCATTCTTCGGCGTAAGCAGAAGCTTTAGACAGGGTTTGCCTTCAGAAACATCTAGTTGGTTGAGCAGAATGGTTTCCAAGGAACATGAAGGTTCGCCTCCGTACAGAAAAATGAAGGGAAGGAAAACCAGTGGTAGTTTAGGCCGCAGAGTTGTAAGCGCAGGTGTCTAAAGGATTTACGCGGTTCCAGTTGGTTTGGTCGTTCAACGTGTATATCGCCAGCATGTCGACAAAAGTACGATTGAAGCGTTCCGCCATGCCGTTAGTTTGAGGATGGTATGCGGTGCGGTGTAGAATGCGGCGTTCTTCTGGCAGAAGCTTGATTTCACTGGAGAGGAAGACGCGAATTCACGCGGGGCACCATGGGGTGCAATGAAATGGCTTAGAAGAAACCACGCGACGTCTTTCGCAGTGGTGGCTGGTAGCGCAGATATTTCTGCGTACCGCGTGAGGTGGTCGATGTCGAATATTATCCAGCGGTTGCCATCAATAGTGGTCGGAAGTGGACCGAAGAGATCGACTCCGACGCGGCAGAATGTTCTGGCAGGGCGGGAAAGTGGCTGTAGGGAACCAGCGCTACTGTAAGTGGAAGCCTTGTGACGTTGACACGCAGGCACGGTGCAAGAATACTAGCGCAGAGCACGACTGAACGTACCGGAGAACGTATCAGTTCATGCCTCGCCAGTAGTACCTCAGGCGTAGACGCGAGCACGTCTCGAACGTGCCAGTGTAACCGCAGTGAGGGTCATCATGGAATGCA